CCACCTCATCAGTGCCCATCAGTGCTGCCTATCTGTGCCACCTCATCAGTGCCCATCAGTGCTGCCTATCTGTGCCACCTCATCAGTGCCCACCAGTGCTGCCTATCCGTGCCACCTCATCAGTGCCCATCAGTGCTGCCTATCAGTGCCACCTCATCAACGCACATCAGTGAAGGGGAAAAATTACCTGCTTGCAAAATTTTATAATAGAAACAAAACCTTTTTTTCCCCAAATGTTTTGCTCTTTTTTGTTTATAGTGCAAAGAATAAAACCCCCAGCGGCGATTAAATACCACCAAAAGAAAGCTCTATTTGTGTAAAAAAAAAAAAAAAAAAAAAAAAAAAAAAAAAAAGAAGCTAAAAATGTAATATGGGTACAGTGTTGCATGACCGCGCAATTGTCATTCAAATTGCGACAGTGCTGAAAACTGAAAATTGGCCTGGGCTGGAAGGGGGTATAAGTGCCCGGCAGGCGAGGGGTTAATGTCCACTTTCCCTCTGCCTTTCACTCTTCCTTGTAATGCTGCTATATGCGCCTCTTGTCAGAGAAGCTAAACTTCAGACAAACCACTGAATACAAAGGTGACCTACAGAGAAATTAGAGACCCACCAAGGATATGTATGTTGGTCTATCCAGACCTGAGAATAACACAGCTCTGCCACACGTCATGACAGAAGATCTGAATTCACCTCTGCTGCTATTGGCAACTCTTAGGGCCCATTTACATATGAATTGGGCAGCAGAGCCTAGCGCAGTCCCAACACATAGTCCAGATGATTTTGCCTTGAGTCCTATGAGTTCAGTTTTCCACGCATCGCTGCAGTGGTGTGTGTGCTGGAAAAAAATAGGATATGTTGTACTTTTTGTTTTTTTTAAGTGCAACGTGTTGCCACACTATACCACAATGCACCCCGCTGCGCTTAAGCCCTCATGAACATGGGACGTTTTTAATAGTGCTGGTAACCTTCGCTGTGTAAAGTCATGTTAACCTCTTCCATGCCGGGCACTTTTCCCCCTTCCTGCCCAGGCCATTTTTCAGGTTTCAGCGCTCTCACACTTTGAATGACAATTGCGCGGTCATACAACATTGTACCCAAACTAAAATTTTATCATTTTCTTCACACAACTAGAGCTTTCTTTTGTGGTATTTAATCACCGCTGGGGTTTTTATTTTTTGCTAAATTAACAAAAAAAGACCAAAACTTTTGAAAAAAAACCACGTGGTTCTTTGTTTCTGTTATAAAAGTTTACAAATAAATAATTGTTCTTCATAAATTTAGGCCGAGATGTATTCTGCTCCATGTCTTTGGTGTGAAAATAACCCAAATTAGGATTTATTATTTAGTTTGTAGGAAAGTTATAGAGTTCACAAACTATGGTATAGATCTGAATATTGATCAATCCTGAAGTACTGACAGCCAATCTAATTTCTTGAGGTCCAAGAATGACAGAACAGTACAGATATCCCCCAAATGTCAGGACAGTACAGATATCCCCCAAATGTCAGAACGGTAAAGATATCCCCCAAATGTCAGGACGGTACAGATATCCCCAAATGTCAGGACGGTACAGATATCCCCCAAATGTCAGGACGGTACAGATATCCCCCAAATGTCAGGACGGTACAGATATCCCCCAAATGTCAGGACGGTACAGATATCCCCAAATGTCAGGACGGTACAGATATCCCCCAAATGTCAGGACGGTACAGATATCCCCCAAATGTCAGGACGGTACAGATATCCCCCAAATGTCAGGACGGTACAGATATCCCCCAAATGTCAGGACGGTACAGATATCCCCCAAATGTCAGGACGGTAGAGATATCCCCCAAATGTCAGGACAGATATCCCCCCAAATGTCAGGACGGTACAGATATCCCCCCAAATGTCAGGACGGTACAGATATCCCCCCAAATGTCAGGACCGTACAGATATCCCCCCAAATGTCAGGACAGTACAGATAGTCCCCCCAATGTCAGGACAGTACAGATATCCCCAAATGACCCCTTTTTGCAGAGTAGACAGTCCGATGTACTTCATAAGAGGAATGGCGAGTTTTTTGAAGTTGTATTTTTTTTTGTCATAATTTTTTGGAAAATTAAAAAATTAAAAAAATTATTTTCACTATTTTTTTTATTTTTTACATACTGTCACCAGTGCCATCATATAACTGGCATGGCGGTGATCAGGGACACTGACTGGTGACCGTATGAAAAAAGATATATATATATATATATATATATATATATATATATATATATATATATATATATATATATATATATATATATATATATATATATATATATATATATTTTTTTTTTTTTTTTTTTTTGCAATTTTTTTTTTTTTTTTGCAATTTTTTTTTTTTTTTTAAGATTTTTTTTTTTTCATATTTTACTATGACCAAAGTAGTACAATGTTACCATAGTACAGACCGGGGTGGTCCAAATACACTAGATGCAAATGGAGAAACAGAAAAAGGGTGCACCGACCTAGTGCATTATCGTTTCAAATATTTATTGAAGAAACAAAGTAAGTATCGTACTCACAATAGACATAAAAACACAAGCATGTCAAACTGAACAAGATGTATGATCCAAACAGCATCTGAGTCCATACGATGGAACCCTGGATGACCAACTGGCTAACGCTTTTCGAGGACACAACCTCTTCCTCAGAGCCAACCTGGAAATGCGTTAGCCAGTTGGTAATCCAGGGTTCCATTGTATTGACTCAGATGCTGTTTGGATCATACATCTTGTTCAGTTTGACATGCCTGTGTTTTTATGTCTATTGTAAGTATGATACTTACTTTGTTCCTTCAAGAAATATTTTAAACAATAATGCACTAGGTCGGTGAGCCCTTTTTCTGTTTCTCCATTTGCATCTAAAAAACAAATCTACAGCTGAAATACATATGTTTACAGTTACCTGCCAATATATTTGTAATTCTGTACAGTCAGTCCCTGTGATTTACACACATTTCCTACTGCACAGTCAGATAAGAGACTCCGCTCCTGCATGTCACTCCAGCGAACGACCAAAAAGTTACGAATGGCAATTTCCATCTGTACCTGTAATGATTCTTTCTAGTAGTGCCCACCATCTTGGATCACTCTGTATAATACACAGAGGAGAACTTAGACTATATAGTTGAGTCTGCGGACACCTGACCATCGCACCTTTCATGAGCTTGTTGGCCATCCCTTCCCAAAATCCTGCTATTAATCTGGAGTTGGCTCTCTTTTGCAACTCTGACACCCTCTACTCTACTGTGAAGGCTTCACTCAAGATGCAAGTCAACAATTCTTGATGGTAGGTCTCTGAGAGCTCTTTTCTGCGAGGCATGGTTCACATCATCAGACAGTGCTTCTTGAAACCAGTAAACCCAAAACAGGTGTGTGTGTTTTTTAAGGGCAGGACAGCTGTCGGCAACACATCCAATATCATCACACTGATTGGAGTCAAGGTTGGCTCACTCCTGGCTCCAATTAGCTCTGGGGAGAAGTCATTAAGCTAGGGCCTCACATACTTTTTCTCCTGCACTGTGAATGTTTACATGTTATGTGCAATTAAACCATGGCAACATCTAATGTTTGTGTAGTATTATGTTCAGCAGACTGTGTTCTTCTATTGTTGTGACTTAGATGACGTTCAGAGCACATTTTATGCCCAATTCATGCAAAACTCCACGTAATCCCAAGGGGTTCACATAGTTTTTCTTGCAACTGTATGCCCATTAAACCTTAAGGGTCCCTTCACACGGGCATTCCGTTTTTTTTTTCATCAGTTCAGTCACGTTTCTTCAAAGAAAAAAAAAACGGGTGAGTTTACATCTGTTTTTTCTTCGTTTTTTTTTTTCATCCAGTTACATACGTTTTTGGTCCGTTAACACCTTGTTTGCATCAAGCCCGGCTTTGAAGTCGCGCGATTTCAAAAAGTCGGATGACATGCCGATTTCAGGTGCGATTTGCAAGACATCTGAAGTCAATTCACAAAAGGAAATAAATAATTAAATGCATGCGGTAATTAAGTAGTGGTCCAGGCGTGCGGTATGTACTGTCATGGGTTGTTAACCTCTTGGCGCGACCGAACACAAATGTGTGGCCTCCTAGCGTCTGGGCCGAGCGAGCGGCCGCACATTTGCGTTCTATTAAAAAAGGACATATGTGTGCAGAGCACGCGCCCTGCACGCTCCCAGCACACATGTCCTGTACTCACGGAAAGGTCCCGATCTCCTCTTTCGATCGGGACCTTTCCTGATCATCTGACCGCCGTGACGTGCCATCACGGTGGTCAGATGATCAGGAAAGGTCCCCGACCACCGTGATGGCGCGTCACGGCGGTCACATGACCCTAAACCTTGCCCCGCCTCCCAGCTTCTGGAACCCTTAAAGGGCCGGGAGGCACCGGCATGAAGGGGTTAAGCAATGGGTGGCCGCCGAGTCTCTAACAACCTATAAGTCATCAGCTGTCAGCAGGGTTCCCCATTGACAGCTGAATATAAAATTAATTTTAAACAAATTTGTTGGGTCCACCCTCCATCCATACCAAGCCCTTCAGATCTGGTTTGGATTTTCAGGGGAATCCCCACACTAAAATAAAAAAAAAAAAAAAACTCTTATCCAAGTATGCAGCCAGCAGGTCAGGAAAGGGGGGGAAACGAGTGAGTGCTCCCCCCTCCTGAACCATACCAGGTCACATGCCCTCAACATGGGTGGGGTGCTTTGGGCAAGGGGGCCCCCAGATCCCCCAGTGTGAATGAGTATGGGGGTACCGCTACCCATTCACAAAAAAAAAAAAAAAGTTAGTGTGGAAAAAGACAGGAGACATTCTTTGACAAGTCCTTTATTAACCGCCTCCCACCCGCCATATAAGGTAATGACGGGCGCAGGGCGGTTCTCTCGTTCTGGGAGGGCATCATATGACGTCCTCCCTTTTCTAACCGCACATGCGTGGCTTCGGGAGAGCGCGCGGCGATCGGTGGTGCGCTGTGTCCCTCGGACACAGCTGATCACCGATCAATGGAAAGAGCCGCAGATGTCGGCTCTGTCATGTGATCAGCTGTGTCCAATCACAGCTGATCGCATGTAAATAGGAAATGCCGGTTATCGGCATTTCTCTCTCTCTCGAGCTGTCACGCTGACAGGAGAGGAGAGCCGGTAATCGGCTTTACTCAGAGGGGACATGTACACTGATCATCAGTGTTCCGTGATGATCTGTATAGCCCCAGAAGTGCCAACTGTCAGTGTCCATCAGTGCCAGCTGTCAGTGCTCAGCTATGCCACCTATCAGTGCCTACCAGTGCACATCAATGCCACATATCAGTGCCCATCTGAGCTGCCTTTCAGTGCCACCTATCAATGCCAGTCAGGACTACCCATCAGTGCTGCCATCAGTGCAGCCTATCAGTGCCCATCACTGCAGCCTCTCATTAGCACACATCAGTGAATGAAAAAAAATCACTTATTTTACAAATTTTATAACAAACTAAGAAAAAACTTTCTTTTTTTTCAAAATTTTCAGTGGTTTTTAGTTTATTTAGCAAAAAATAAACCCGAGGTGATTAAATACCACCAAAAGAAAGCTCTATCTGTCACAAAAAAATTATAAAAATTTCATATGAGTACAGTGTTGCATGACCGCGCAATTGTCATTCAAAAGTGTGACAGCGCTGAAAGCTGGAAATTGGACTGGACAGGAAGGGGGTATAAGTGACCTGTAGGCGAGGGGTTAAAAGATGAAAAATATAAAATAAAGTCCATGAAATAGATCCACCGTCAATCACGATACCCGCCACCACCACCCGATAAAAAAGGAAAAAAAAAAGACTCCTCTCCTGATGCTGGCTCCCGCCATCTGACTGCTCCGCTGGCTTGACAGTTCTTAAATATGTAAGGAACGGGGCCATCATGTATGTGCCCCTGTGTGACATCATTGACCCAGCATGCCCCAATCGATGTCACACGGGTGATGTCACTGGGTGGCCCTACCCCTTACATATTTAAGAACTGTCAAGCCAGCGGAGCAGTCAGACGGCAAGCAGCCAGTGTTGGGAGCGGATGCGGAGTGTAGAGGTGATGGTAAGGGAGTCCACAAACGGTTAGTCCATACAGTGTATAGATGGAATAATTACAGGCTTGGGATCTTGTTGCGTCCATAATTGCAATTAAGCTGAACTACAGTTTGGTTTTTATTGCAAATATTCCAGCCTGGACCAATGTAAGTATACATATTCTATACCTGAGGGACCACTATGGAGGCTGGAAATCGCACTGGTAGTTGGTGCTACTACAGTCATCACCACAATCTTTGGGGTCCCGTGATGAGTGGGCTGCCCCTCTGGATAGTGAACACAAGGGGTCATTAACTTGGCATGGGTGCCATTTACAGAACGAATTGTATTTTTTTTTTTTTCTTTTTTCAATGAAGACAAGGTGTTCTCTGATTGGACGAGGTGGGGAGATCATATAACAATCTTCGTCCTGTCCTATCAGAGAAAGCCTTGTATGCATTAAAAAAAAAAATACAAGACAGACACAGTCAGGCAACTAACATATTCATAGTGCCCTCATACTTCCTTAATGACAGATATGCCAAAAATAAGCGCACACAGTTCAAAATGAAGCCAAAATATTCAGGTGATTTGATTAACCCATCTATGACTGGTTCTCTTTAAGCTGATCACATAAACAAGTGTATGAAAAAATCAGTTTAATAAATCTAAATTGCCTTTAAAGCAGAGTATCCCTTTAATGACAGAGGATCCAGGGTGGATTTCTGTAACTGGGATTTTAATCTGCATTTATTCATGTTTTATTTAAATTTGCATGTTGTTATTATTATGATTATTATTTATTAACTTAATTTTTTTATTCGTTTCAGCATGTATTTTATTTTGATGAAGTTTTTAACGAGACATTGACTAATCAGGATGTGTACATGAAGACAGCTCAGCCGCTTATTCAGCATGTTTTCAACGGGTAGGGACAATTCTTCATGCCGTTTATGTTGTCTTAATTTGTGCTTCACCCAAAAAAAAAAAAAAGGAAGCCAACGTGTGTGTGTGTGTGTGTTATCCCTCCCAATATATGTATGTGTGTGTCTAAAAATATACATACACACAGGCCCATATATACAGTATCTCACAGAAGCAAGTACACCCCTCATATTTTTAGGGGTTGACTCACTTTTGTTTCCAGCGGTTTACACATTAATGGCTGTGTGTTGAGTTATTTTGAGGGGAGAGAAAATTTCCATGTTATACAAGCTGTACACTGACTACGTCACATTGTAGCAAAGGGGTTTATTTACTAAAGCTGAAGAGTCCAAAATCAGACTCCTTCTGCATAGAAACCAATCAGCTTCTAAGCTCAGCTTGTTCAATGAAGCTTTGGCAATGAAACCTGGAAGCTGATTGGTTTCTATGCAGAAGTGAGTCTGATTTTGGACTCTCCAGCTTTAGTAAATAAACCCCAAAGTGTCATTTCTTCAGTGTTGTCACATGAAAAGAGAGAATCAAATATTTACAACAATGTGAGGGGTGGACTCACTTCTGGGAGATACTGTGTGTGTGTGTATATGTGTGTATGTATATATATGTGTATATATATATATATATATATATATATATATATATATATATATATTACAGTCCGGGGGGAGGCGGGGACTCAATTCTGGGAGATACTGTGTGTGTGTATATGTGTGTGTATATATATATATATATATATATATATATATATATATATATATATATAATATTACAGTCCGGGGGAGGTGGGGACTCAATTCTGGGAGATACTGTATCTGGACACAGGCACAATTTGTTTTTTTCAGGTATTTACCAAAACATATTCAAGCTCTAGTTCTATAATGGATATGGGCTGAAAGTGCACACTCTCAGGTTTAATTTGAGGGTATGTACATCCAAATTGGAGGAAGGGTTTAGGAATTACAGCTCTTAAGAGTAGCCATCCCTCCTCTTTCAAGGAACCAAATGTAATTGGACAATTGAATCAAAAGCTGTTCCATGGCCAGGTGTGGGCTACTCCATTATTTCTTCATCAATTAAGCTGGTAAAAGGTCTGGAGTTGATTCTAAGCGTGGGATTTGCATTTGGAATCTGTTGCTGTGAACCTACATCATGCATTCAAAGGAGCTGTCCAAGCAAGTGAAAGAGGCCATTGTAAGGCTTCAAAAACTAAACAAACCCATCAGAGAGATCGCAGCAACATCTGGAGTGGCCAAATCAACAGTTTGGTACATTCTGAGTAAAGAAGAACGCACTGGTGAGCTCAGCAACATAAAGAGGCATGGATGGCCATGGAAGACAACAGTGGTGGATGATCGCAGGATCCTCTCTATGGTATAGAAAAACCCATTCACAACATCCAGACAAGAGAAGGACACTCTCCAGGAGGTGGGCGTATCATTGTCAAAGTCTACAATCAAGAGAAGACTTCACGAGAGCAAATACAGAGGGTTCACCACAAGGTGCAAACCATTCATAAGCCTGAAGAATAGAAAAGCCAGATTAGACTTTGCTAAAAAACATCTAAAAAAGCCAAACCAGTTCTGGAAAAGCATTCTTTGGACGGATGAAAAGGCTTGGAACAGCTCATGATCCAAAGCACACAACGTCATCTGTAAAACTTGGTGGAGGCAGTGTGATGGCATGGGCATGCATGGCTTCCAGTGGCACTGGGTCATTGGTTATTGATGATGTGACAGAAGACAGAAGCAGCCGGATGAATTCTGAAGTGTTTACAGATCTACTGTCAGCCCAGATTCAGCCAAATGCAGCAAAGGTGATTGGACGGCTCTTCACAGTACAGATGGACAATGATCCAAAAACACACTGCAAAAGCAACCCAGGAGCTTCTGAAGGAAAAGAAGTGGAATATTCTGGAATGGAAGAGTCAATAACCTGATCTCAACCCCACTGAGCATGCATTTCACTTGCTGAAGGCAAAACGAAAGGCAGAAAGACCCACAAACAAAGAACAACTGAAGAGCCTGGCACAGCTGCAGATAGAGCCTGGCAAAGCATCAGAAAGGAGGAAACACAGTCTTTGGTCATGTCCATGGGTTCCAGGCTTCAGGCAGTCATTGTCAACAAAATTTTAAAAATGAACATTTTATTTATAATTCTATTCAATTGTCCAATTACATTTGAGTCCCTGAAAATGGAGGGACTGTGTATAAAAATGGTTGCAGTTCCTAAAATTTGTACTTGATATTTTTGTTCAACCCCTTGAATTGAAGCTGAAAGTCTGCACTTCACATTCATTTGGATTGTTTTCATACTTTTGGCTCTGTATGCCACAGAATAAAACAAAAGTGTGTCCAAGTGTATATGGACCTAACTGTATATATATGTGTGTGTATCTAATATAAAAAAGAAAAAAAAATATTTTCTACAATTGGATTATGTGCTTCTCTATGCAGTGCAGACAGATGGTGGCAGGGTGCTGTACATAGTTTCCTGAAAACATCATCACAGCCTCCATACTCCTCTCAAGAGCCCTCAGTCCTGATTCAAGCAGTGGGTTGGCTCTTGGGAGGAGTTATGCAAATATTGAAATGCATTGATGGATGAATGTCAGTCTGGAGGAATGGGTGTTTATAGACAGGCTGCATTTGTATGCAGATCAACCTAGATGAGCCTCCATGACTGAAAGAACTGAAATCCAATGAATGAAGGGGGCTGGCCAGGGACAGCTAGGCTGGGAAGGAAAGCGCTAGATGATGCTGGATGTCCTCTAGCCAGGAAATAAGGCGGGCTCTATCTGACTTGCTTCAGATTGTGAAAAGCTCACAGTGTGCAGTGAAATCAGAGTAATCCATTTCCATCCAAGAGAGGAAATGACGCCATATCAGGAAATGACGGGCGGCGCTGGTTCTCTCGTTTTGGGAGGACGTCCTATGCGCACTGATCAGTGTTGTACTGTGTCCCAGGGACACAGCGGATCACCAATCGCAGTGAAGAGCCGTTGACATAGGCTCTATCATGTGATCGGCTGTGTCCAATCACAGCCGATCGCATGTAAATAGGAAAAGCCGGTTATCGGGATTTCTCTCCTCACAAGCTGTCACACTGACAGAGGAGAGGAGAGCCGGTAATCGGCATTCCTCAGAGGGGACATCTACACTGATCATCAGGGCACTGATGATCAGTGTAGCCCCATCAGTGCCGCCTATGAGTACCATATGAGTGCTGCCTTTCAGTGCCACCTACCAGTGCCTCCTCATCAGTGCCCATCAGTGATGCCTGTCAATGCCCATCAGTGCAGCCTATCAGTGTTCATCAGTTCCACCTATCAGTGCCATATATGAGTGCTGCCTTTCAGTTCCCATCACTGATGCCTGTCAATGCCCATCTGCGCCTCCCCATAAGTGCAGCCTATCAGTGCAGCCTCATTAGCGCACATCAGCGAAGGAGAAAAAAATTACTTATTTACAAAATTTTATAACAAAAACTAAGAAACGTATTTTTTTTTCCATAATTCCCTGTCTTTTTTTTAGTTTAGCAAAAAATAAAAACCCCGAGGTGATTAAATACCACCAAAAGAAGCTCTGTCTCAAAATAATGATAAAACTTTTGTTTGGGTTCAGTGTTGCATGACCGCGCAATTGTCATTCAAAGTGTGACAGCGCTGAAAGCTGAAAATTGGCCTGGGCAGGAAGGGGGTGAAGTACCCGGTAGGCGAGGGGTTAATCTTCATTGAGTCAGATTATTTTTTCTGTGTCTTTCTGTTTGTGTTAAGTTAGTGTATCTAAACCCAAAAACATACATTTTATATATTGCAGCCTACTGCTACTTCGATGTGGTGGCTGCGTTAGTTTTAAATTTTTTAGGCTTTTTTCCTCTTTATTTTCCACCCAGTAATGCTGCAAATAACACATTCTGTCACTCTGTGCACACTCATGTCTCCACTTCATGGAAGGAGCCATGGTTGTCACCCAGGCTGGACTTCAAACGTAACTGTTTGTTCATTTTCATTACATGGTGGATTGAAGGGATCAACAGGAATTTTCTTTAACCCCTTCTGGTCCGGACACTCCCCCCCCCCCCCCCCCTTCCGGTTCTGGACACTTTCCCCCCCTTCCAGTCCGGACACTTCCCCCCCTTCCAGTCCGGACACTTTCCCCCCCTTCCAGTCCCCCTCAGACACTTTCCCCCCCTTCCCAGTCCGGACACTTTCCCCCCCCCTTCCAGTCCGGACACTTTCCCCCCCCAGTCTCCACTTTTTCCCCCCCTTCCAGTCCGGACACTTTCCCCCCCTTCCAGTCCGGACACTTTCCCCCCCCTCCAGTCCGGACACTTTCCCCCCCTTCCAGTCCGGACACTTTCCCCCCCCCTTCCAGTCCGGACACTTTCCCCCCCCTTCCAGTCCGGACACTTTCCCCCCCCCCTTCCAGTCCGGGACACTTTCCTCCCCCCCCTTCCAGTCCGGACACTTTCCCCCCCCCCCTAGTCCGGACCCCTTTCCAGTCCGGACACTTCCCCCCCCTTCCAGTCCGGACACTTTCCCCCCCCTTCCAGTCCCCCCCCCCCCCCCCCTTCCAGTCCGGACACTTCCAGTCCGGACACTTCCCCCCCCTTCCATCAGTCCGGACACTTCCCCCCCCCCCCTTCCAGTCCGGACACTTTCCCCCCCCCTTCCAGTCCGGACACTTTCCCCCCCCCTTCCAGTCCGGACACTTCCCCCCCCCCTTCCAGTCCGGACACTTTCCCCCCCCTTCCAGTCCGGACACTTTCCCCCCCTTCCAGTCCGGACACTTTCACCCCCCTTCCAGTCCGGACACTTTCCCCCCCCTTCCAGTCCGGACACTTTCCCCCCCTTGCAGTCCGGACACTTTTCCCCCCCCCCCCCCCCCTTGCAGTCCGGACACTTTCCCCCCCCTTCCAGTCCGGACACTTCCCCCCCCCCTTCCAGTCCGGACACTTTCCCCCCCCCTTCCAGTCCGGACACTTTCCCCCCCCCTTGCAGTCCGGACACTTTCCCCCCCCTTGCAGTCCGGACACTTTTCCCCCCCCTTGCAGTCCGGACACTTTCCCCCCTTGCAGTCCAGACACTTTCCCCCCCCCTTGCCAGTCCGGACACTTTTCCCCCCCCCCCCTACTGCAGTCCGGACACTTTCCCCCCCTTGCAGTCCGGACACTTTTCCCCCCCCCTTCCAGTCCGGACACTTTCCCCCCCCCCCTTCCAGTCCGGACACTTTCCCCCCCCCCCTTCCAGTCCGGACACTTTCCCCCCCCCTTCCAGTCCGGACACTTTCCCCCCCCTTCCAGTCCGGACACTTTCCCCCCCCCTTCCAGTCCGGACACTTTCCCCCCCCCTTCCAGTCCGGACACTTTCCCCCCCCTTCCAGTCCGGACACTTTCCCCCCCCCCCCCTTGCAGTCCGGACACTTTCCCCCCCCCTTGCAGTCCGGACACTTTCCCCCCCTTGCAGTCCGGACACTTTTCCCCCCCCCCTTGCAGTCCGGACACTTTCCCCCCCTTGCAGTCCGGACACTTTCCCCCCCCTTGCAGTCCGGACACTTTCCCCCCCTTGCAGTCCGGACACTTTTCCCCCCCCCTTCCAGTCCGGACACTTTCCCCCCCCCCTTCCAGTCCGGACACTTTCCCCCCCCTTCCAGTCCGGACACTTTCCCCCCCTTCCAGTCCGGACACTTTCACCCCCCTTCCAATCCGGACACTTTCCCCCTCTTCCTGTCCAGGCCAATTTTCAGCTTTCAGCGCTATCACATTTTGAATGACAATTGCGCGGTCATGCAACACTGTACTCCATATGAATGTTTTCGCATTTTTTTGAGACAGATAAAACTTTATTTTGGTGGTATTTATTCACCACTTGGATTTTTTTTTTCGCTATATAAATGAAAGTCTAAACATTTTGGGGAAAAAAAAGTGTTTTTCTTATAAAATTTTGCAAATAAATAATTTTTTCTTTGTAAATCTTGCCCAAAATGTATTCAGCTATATTTTTATAAAAAAAAAAATAACCCAAATTAGTTTATAACCAGAAATTTTAATAATTTTTCAAAAACATTTTTTAACATTTTTATGTTCTTGTTTTATATTCTTTTTTTTTTTTTTTATATGCTGTCACCCTAGCAGTACAGTGTCACCGTGGTGACACTGTACTACTTGTGGGGGGTGATGAAGAATGTTTTTTTTTTTTTTTTTTTAACACTGATTGCTTTTACACCCATAACGGCTGTATAAGCAATCATAGATCCTTCTCTCTGGCTCCATTGAGAACTACTGTGAGAGCTGTGATTGGTCACAGCTTGTCACATGGTACAAGGCTGTTGTGAATGGCCCTGTACCATGTGATCTCTGTGATCATTCACAGATTTCACACGGAGTAAGCTTACTACTATTCATGTGATCACTGATTGGGCAATCAGGAATCACATGATCGGGATCTCACACAGAGGTCCCGTACAGAGATCGGCTTTCCGCTGTGTCCTCCGGACACAGTGGGCACCGGATTGCGGAGCCGCACGCTCTTAGGGAGCGCGCACGGGCAGGGAGGACTTTTATAATCGGCCACCCAACCCTGTGATGCTCCCGTCCGGCCGTTTATATACTTGAGCCGAATGTGAAGTGGTTAATTGCTGAAAGTGTACTTGGCCTGCAAAAAAAAAAACAAAAACAGGATGTACATCTAAGGACAGGAAAGCTGCAATATATTACGTTGTTTGGAAGTTTTTAGATGCTTTTAATAAAAGGGATGTTTCTCTATTTTAGTGGCAATGCGACCTGTTTTGCCTACGGTCAGACTGGGGCAGGGAAGACCTACACCATGATCGGCAGCCAGAAGAACCCCGGTCTGTATGCTTTGGCTGCCAGAGACATCTTCCAGCTGCTGGAATCGGCTCAGCCGTCTAAAGACCTTTCCGTGTGGATCAGCTTTTATGAAATCTACTGCGGACAGCTTTATGACTTGTTCAAAAAGGGAGGAAAAGGTAAAGGGTTCAACGGGAGGAGAAGGTAAAGGGTTCAACGGGAGGAGAAGGTAAAGGGTTCAACGGGAGGAGAAGGTAAAGGGTTCAACGGGAGGAGAAGGTAAAGGGTTCAACGGGAGGAGAAGGTAAAGGGTTTCAACGGGAGGAGAAGGTAAAGGAGTTCAACGGGAGGAGAAGGTAAAGGGTTCAACGGGGGGAAGAGGTGAAGGGTTCAACGGGAGGAGAAGGTAAAGGGTTCAACGGGGGGGAAGAGGTAAAGGGTTCAACGGGAGGAGAAGGTAAAGGGTTCAACGGGAGGAAGAGGTGAAGGGTTCAACGGGAGGAGAAGGTAAAGGGTTCAACGGGAGGAGAAGGTAAAGGGTTCAACGGGAGGAGAAGGTAAAGGGTTCAACGGGAGGAAGAGATAAAGGGGTTCAACGGGAGGAGAAGGTAAAGGGTTCAACGGGGGGAAGAGGTAAAGGGTTCAACGGGAGGAGAAGGTAAAGGGTTCAACGGGAGGAAGAGGTGAAGGGTTCAACGGGAGGAAAGGTGGGTACACATGTGTTGTCCACTTCAAACAGGCGACAAGTCCTTCTACCCAGGGGGATGTGGTTCGTCGCGAACACATGTTGTTGGATTTTTGAAAATCGAATTGATTTTGTAAAAGGGGGTGCAGCAATGACAATAAAGGGTTGTACAGGCGTACCTCGGTTTACAAACGCCTGGGGTAAACGTAATTTTCGGTTTACAAATGAAAATAATGCCTCGGTTTATGAATACGAAGCAAGTTTCCCCAGGATGAATTGCGCCTGGGAGGTTTATTGCGCCGGCCCCGTACATGCTGGAGTCTGTGGGTAGCGTGTAGCGTTGAGTGTGGAGGTGTTGGGAATGGTTTTTGCATCGAGTTTTGGAGCCATTCTGGAAATTTTTTTTAATCATGTCCCTGTACAGTATTTATGCCTTTAAAGTGCACTTTATAGAGTTTTGAATAGATAAAAGACTTTTTTTTTTTTTTTGACCACTAGATGCTGAGCACATGCAGATATGTGGCCTCTCGGCATGACGAGCGACCACATATTTACGTACCATTTAAAAATACATATGTGCTGAGAGCGCACGCCCTGCGCTCTACCAGCACATATGTCCGTGTCTCACGGAAAGGTTCCAATCCCCCTTACGATCAGGACCTTTTCCGATCATGTGACCGCCGTGACACCGAATCACGGCAGTCACATGACCCTAAAACCCCGCCCCAACTTCTGAAACTCTTAAAGGGCTGGGAGGCGCCGGCGCAAAGGGGTTAAAGTAGTTGTAGCCCCTTACATATACCCAGTGAAGTGACTGGCCTCAGGTGACACACCAAGATGAAACCAATCCATATACATAAGGTGTACCTGTTTATCTGCATTCTTCTGTTCTCTATTGCAGTGTTGATCAACCTTTTCTCAGTCAAGACTCCCTTTAAAATGGACAATCT